ATTTGTTCATCACAATTCAATTCTGCTTTCCATCAGCCGATTGGCGCAAATGAACCAAAGCTAAAGGCAAAGCCCCTCTCTCATTCATTTTTGCAGCCATTTTTTTTTGGCCTTTTCTCTTTGCTTTTTTTCCTTCATCTTTCATTTTCTTCTCCATTGTAAAGGGGTTTGTTTGTTTTTTCATTGAAGTTTCGATCTTTTTGTTACCCTCAATCTTGGGTTTTCTTTGTTCTTGCTATTTCCTTTTGTTAATATGGGTGTTCATGAGTGTTGGGTCATGGTTTTTGTTCTTGTGTTCTTGTTCCAAGCTCAGTTGTTCAACTCACAGAACCTGATATGTAATCAAAAGGATTGGATTGCTCTCCAGGGTTTTATGAGCAATTTGGCAACAAAACTTGAAACTTGGTCAACAAATTCATCAGCTGATTGTTGTCACTGGGAAGGAATCACCTGTGATCCTCCATCTTCCGGTAGAGTAATCAAGTTGGAACTTTCCAGGAAAAGATTGTCAGGAAAATTATCTGATTCTTTAGCTGTTTGGACCAGCTTAAAACTCTCAATCTTTCCCACAATTTCCTTAAAGACTCACTGCCATTGTCTTTGTTTCATATGCCAAATTTGGAGCAACTTGATTTGAGCTATAATGAGTTCTCTGGACAAATCCCGGAAAGCATCAACCTTCCATCAATTCAATTCCTGGAAATTTCTTCGAATTCCTTGGATGGTTCCCTTCCTTCACATATATGTGTTAATTCGACTCGAATTCGGTTCCTTAGATTGGAAATGAACTATTTCTCCGGTAATATTCCACCAGGGCTTGGAACTTGTTCTTCCTTGGAGCAACTTTCTCTGGCATGAATGATTTCACTGGTGGGATATCAGAAGACATCTTTCTGCTTCGAAATTTGAGCATTTTGGAGCTTCAAATAACAACTTTGATGGGAAGCTTAGTCCTGGTATTGCTAATCTCTCTAAACTTGTTCGTTTAGATGTTTCTTCAAATAATTTTTCTGGAGAAATCCCGGATGCGTTCAGTCAGCTTCAGGATTTTCAGTATCTTGTTGCTCATTCAAATCATTTCAGTGGTGGAATTCCTAGTTCATTGTTGAATTCTCCGACCATTAGTTTGTTAAATTTGAGGAACAATTCAATGGAAGGTCCTATAGTTCTTAATTGTTCAACTATGGTTGCTTTGAACTCTCTTGATTTAGGTACCAATAAGTTTTCTGGTCCTGTGCCTGATAATCTTCCCTTGTGTAGACAACTGGAAAATATCAATCTTGCAAAGAATAAGTTAGGTGGCCAAGTCCCTGAGAGCTTCAGAGAATTCCATAGCCTCTCTTATCTTTCCCTCTCGAATTCGAGCATCCGGAACCTGTCATCTGCTCTTCGAATTCTGAATCAGTGTCGGAATCTGACTACTTTGGTACTCACCTTGAATTTCCCGGATGAAACATTGCCTGATGATCCTGATCTACATTTCGAGAAGTTGAAGGTTTTGGTTATAGCAAACTGTAGGCTTAAAGGTTCGTTTCCCGAATGGTTGAGAAATAGCGCTGCTTTGCAGTTGTTGGATTTATCATGGAACCATTTGGCTGGAACAATTCCATCGTGGATAGGAAGCTTTAGGGATCTGTTTTACATTGACTTATCGAACAATTCGTTTACCGGAGAGATCCCGAAGAGTTTGACCGAATTACCAAGCCTCATTTATCGAGATATCTCACTGGAGAACCCTTCGCCGGATTTTGTTTTCTTCATGAAAAGGAATGAAAGTGCAAGAGGATTGCAGTATAATCAAATTTGGAGTTTTCCTCCAACACTTGACTTTGGTCTCAACTTTCTTAGTGGACCAATTTGGCCAGAGTTTGGGAATCTGAAAAAGCTTCATGTGTTTGATTTGAAGTTGAATAATTTCTCGGGACCGATTCCGGAAAATTTGTCCGGGATGACCAGCTTGGAGATTCTGGATTTATCGCATAATGACTTATCCGGGACCATACCACCTTCGCTGCAAAGTCTCAGTTTTCTGTCCATTTTTAATGTTGCCTATAATCAGCTTACGGAAAGATCCCTTCCGGAGGTCAATTTCCGACGTTTCCAAGTTCGAGCTTTGAAGGGAACAATCTTTGTGGTGAGCACTGGTCCCACTGTCAAGATGGTACTACTGGAAAAGATCCTGATGAGTCCCCGAGAAGATCAAGGAGGAACAACAGAGGTATCATTGCTGGAATGGTTGTTGGAATCTTTTTCGGGACAGTTCTTCTGCTCGGTCTTCTGCTTGTGATTTTGTTGCGTGCGAATAACCGCAATGAGGTCGATCCCGAGAGAGAGGACCCTGACTCGAATGATAAGGATCCAGAAGAAACCGGTTCAAGGCAAGTGGTCCTCTTCCAAAATTATGGAAACCTGCAGAGAGCTGTCAATTGACGACCTTTTGAAATCGACCAACAATTTTGACCAAGCAAATATCATCGGTTGTGGGGGCTTCGGTCTGGTTTACAGAGGCATCCTCCCTGATGGTCGTAAGGTTGCCATTAAACGGCTTTCGGGTGATTGCGGTCAGATGGACAGAGAATTCCATGCCGAAGTCGAAGCACTTTCAAGAGCTCGACATCCAAATCTTGTCCATCTACAAGGGTATTGCATCCACAAAACTGACAGGCTACTAATATATTCTTTCATGGAAAATAGCAGTTTAGACTATTGGTTGCACGAGAAGGTCGATGGACCGTCTTCGCTCGACTGGGAAATGAGGCTGCAAATCGCACAAGGTGCAGCCAGGGGTCTAGCTTACTTGCACCAGTCATGTGAGCCTCATATTCTTCACAGAGATATAAAGTCGAGTAACATTCTTTTAGACGAGAATTTTAAAGCACACTTAGCCGATTTCGGTCTCGCAAGGCTCATACTTCCCTATGACACCCATGTAACCACCGATCTCGTGGGCACATTAGGTTACATTCCTCCCGAGTATGGTCAGGCGTCTGTTGCAACCTACAAAGGTGACGTGTACAGTTTCGGGGTCGTGCTTTTGGAGCTTCTGACCGGGAAAAGGCCAATGGATATGTGCAAGCCGAAAGGATGCCGGGATTTGATCTCTTGGGTGATTCACATGAAGATGGAACATAAGGAGAGTGAGGTTTTTGATCCATTTATATATGACAAGCTGCATGAAAAGGAAATGCTGCAGGTTCTCGATATCGCATGCATTTGTTTAAGCGAAAGTCCTAAAGTACGGCCTACGACGCAGCAGCTGGTTTCTTGGCTAGACAAGGTTGAGATCGGCATCTAGCTCGGCCAAGCAGCTATGGAAAACTTTGGTTGTACAGCTACAAATATTTCTCAAACATCCATTGTTGCAGAAAGCTCAAGTTTTCGTAGTAACATTATCCTATTGTAAATATTATCTGATTTTGGGGGGATCAACACAAATTTTGTACAACTTTTCACATTCTTACTTCGGGAGATGATCAAATGCATGCTTCCACAGTGTAAAATAAAATAATTTTGATTCGAAATGTAAAGTTTGATATGCGAACTGCACTGTAAAAACACTGGATTTTGTGTTTCAAGAATATTTGTTAACAAGGTTTCACTGTGCTGCAATGATGAACTTCTATTTTGAGAACTCCATATGTTGTTTCGAGGCAAGTTGTAGTCGGAAACTGACGTAAGATGAGAGTAAACTTATAAAATTTTAGGAACGAATACAAATTATCAATAAAAAATACAAAGAATGCACCTAAATTATATGAGAATTTAAAATTTTCAGAAGACGATTGCGTCGCCAGCACCCCTCGGCTATCGATAAATTCCCAGTTGTAGTGATTCATGTCTTATCTTTGAAAACTGTCATGGTTTCCTTCCTAGTTTACCTTGTTTGGTTAGGTTAGGTTATGTTGGTTAGAAAAACTTTGCTGACCCCGTTGGCAGTTGGATTAAGTGAGGATTTTTCTTCTTCCAAACAATTGAGAAAATTATAAATCGATTTAAATCATAGTGTTTAATTTAGTTTTGAATCATTTAATAATTGAGTGTGTTCGTCTCGGTTTGATTTTTGGTGCATAAGTTGAAAATAACAATGAACCAAACCAAACCAAACCAGTGACTATTAATAATTGATAAATATTAATAATTAATCTTATTTTTAATATTATTTATAAATCGACAAAATTTTTAATAAAGCGATAAAAATAAAATAACCCTTATAATTTAATGACTGTACACGTGATTTATCCTAACTTAATATTTCACGAGAAATAAAATATATTTTTAAATTTTATTAAACCGTGAATAAGATGGGAAAATGATTGAAATTAGAGTTGAACAGGTAAAATGTTTTTTTTTCATAGTAGGGATATTATAACGTATAATATCTATTCATAATTTTTTTAATCTATTGATAATGTGTGTATGTCATAGAGACGCAGTTGCTCAAATCTAAATTTCTAAGAAAAATAACATTTATTTTTATCATTGAGATCATTCAATTGATTTAAATTTAAATAAAAAATTTAAATATCTATATTTTAAAATAAAAGAATATTACAAATTATCTATAATTTATTTTCAAAACCATAGGAGACCAAACTATTAGCAACCATAGTTTCAATAACATTGATTGCATGAATTAGACCACTTGACATTTTTTATAAACAGCAAATTCTTGGTCAATAGGGTGGAAAATAAGCAACTTCTTCGTCCACGATACATTTGTAATGTCAATTTTTTGGTAAGTTCTATGGTAGTCTGATGGCCAACTATTTCCCGTACTAATGTTATTCGAACTCATTATTTTTAATAAAGTTTATATATTTTATTATTTTGTATTCGACATTAATATATATATATAAAAATCTACCGAATGAGCTTATTGAATGACCTCAATAGAAAATGAAATGTTATTCTCTCTAAAAACTTCCGAATTCAAGCAGTTACATTAGCAGTACAGGAAATATACGTTATCAAAAGACTAAAAAATAGCCCAAAAGAATAACACAGAAGCCATCGTTTAAACCAAGCTTATTTTTAACAATTATCGTCTTGAAAATTTCCATTGGTAATTGATGATTTTACAAGCAAAACACATTTGCAGAAATTACATGTAACATAATTTGTTCATATAAAAGTAAACCCTACCACTACGGATCAATAACAATGTCTTTTTCTTTTAATTTTCTATTCATCATCGTCGCCAAACACAACAGTAAATATTATATCGGTGCAACCGCATCGACATGGTAGCAACATATTAGGCGTTGGATTCGGCGTCGTCTTCCATTTCGTGGACAGCTTGAAGAGGACTGCTACCGAACATAAGTCCTCTATCGGAGAGCTTGTTCAGAGGACCATCTCCGAATAAACATACCTGCGGTTCAATCCGATTCATGCGGTTCCACTCGTCGTCCGACAGAGACCAGTTGAATATGTCAATATTTTGCTTTATCCTGTCAGGTTTTAGGCTACATGGTAGAACACTGGTTCCTCTTTGAAACCCCCACCGTAGAATTACCTGCGAACAAGCAATGCATACAGACATTTCCAACACATATTTAGACATGAACATAGAGATATGAACCTCCACAGGCCTTTCAGATACTTGAAAAAACACAAGAACGAATGAGCACGCCCCTGTTCGATACATACTCGTACCCGATACTCACCAAGAGATTATCAAGCTCGGGAAATATAAAGATGGATGTTACGATCAAGATAAGCTCAGGCTTTAATCTAAAGTTGGTTACTTCGGAAATTATTCATAAGTGAAACTTTCAAGCCTGTTGAACATACAAGACTGACATAGAGATTCAACAATTTATTTTAACCATCAAACATACAGGAAGCGTCGGGTAGGGAGTCTCCTTACATTTGATGCTTGATGCAGAATGGCAACTAGTTTGAAAATATTTCACAAAATGGAACACCATTGAAGCATATAAAAGTGAATCCTACAAGATGGAACTTTGTTTTCTCCCATGAAGATATTGATATATACATAACAAATATTATATATATTATTTTAGTATATATATCTGAAACATAGGAAACGAATAGTCGAATTCTGTTTTCAAATACATAGATCTCATGTATGTACATACTAGCAATATTATCAACCATGGAACATCTTGACATTTGGAAATGATATGTAAGGGCATTTTCACAGGTCCCATAAAGCTGGCAACAAAGTACAGGATTAAAAAATTTGTTAGCTACTGAGCTTACATCAGTTTCGGAGTGGTTCGAAGTTTTCAATGAGCCCGAAACATTTTTCTCCAATTTCACTAAAATCGGGATCATTATTGTTGATGTTTTACATTGATGAATAGGGTCAAGCCAACATATCACTAAAATCTGAAGAAACATAGGAAAGTTAAAATAGAGATTATCTTGTTATAAAAGGCATACCTGCTCAGGTGTCTTTTTGTGCCTATCTGCTATCTCTCCAACAACCGACAATTTCAGCATCGGTCCATGTACTGATCTAGACCTCCGGAATGAAATCCGAGGAGTTCCGGGTTCATCTTCCCCACCTGACCCACTATCAGACACTCCGGGGCTTGAAGCAGGTACTCCAAGAGGTGTGTGAGCTGATACATGGATACCCTTCAACTGGCAGAACCTCACCAGTTCATCTTGCCTCCAAAAAGGATGCAACTCCACCTATTAAAAATGTATGAATTAGTTCTACACCTTCACCTTGATGAATTTCACCAGATATGGAATTCCGAAAACGAAAAGCAATAAACGAGAACAATAAAGGCCAATATCCGGAAAAGAGTATAGACAGCCAGATTGCTTCAACTTTTCAAGAATTGTGATTATCAATCAAATTTCCGAACTACCGCCTGCCACCTACAACATAAACAAATATTCTAGCGCATCTACTAGTAAAGTTTGCATCAATCGTCGGATGCGGATTCAAACATCATAGAGAGTTAATATCTTTCATCATCTTTTGTCATACCATAGTACCGGAGCTTACCGACTCCGAGAAACCTCCTCTAGCTAACTAAATGCAAGCAAAAGTTCCTGATTTCAGATCTACCATTTGAGTCTCCAACAATTATTCCAATAATTACATTTCCGAATTTACCTATGGACAAAAATGCACACACGTTTCAGAGTAATAGCAATGAGGTTTTCGACCCCGTTCCATAACTAGTTATGAATATACTTCACAGTAAACTTCTTAACAAATCTACAAAAAGATCGAAAACTACAATAAATCTGAAGTCGAAAAAACTGTGAAATCTATCATACCTGATTAACTGCAGGTACGATTTTGGCGAATTTAAGCAGTTCTTTGATCTGATTAACACCGAAATTGCTAACACCGATAGCTCGAACCAAACCCGAATCAACTAAGCCTTCCATGGCCTTCCACACCTTCTTAAGCCGATTCAAAAACTGCCTATGCTCACTCCCAGACTTCAATGGCGGATCAGTCGCGTCGCCGAAACCGGAGCTCTCAGGCCAATGCATCAAATAAAGATCCAAATAAGAGACCCCGAGATTCTTAAGAGACACCCTAACATAATTCTCAATCTTATTCAGAGAATTCATGGTACAGTAAAGCTTTGAGGTTAAGAAAACATCCTCTCTTTTCAAGGAACCTTTGAAAGCTTCGTTCAATGCTTCGCCAACTTCGATCTCATTTCCGTAAAGATGCGCACAATCTATGTGTCGGTAGCCGACCGACAATGCTTTTTTTACGGCGTCGACACAAAGGTCTCCTTCGCTCTGCCATGTTCCAAGACCAATGGCAGGGATTTTAGCTCCAGTGTTCAAAACGAAGAAATTCCCAGGAATCCCAGATTTTCCTTTCATTTTCCTATGCTTTCTCACCCACCAAACGAGAAAAAAAGGGGGCAAGATTACCAGTTCCCAAAAATTTAACTATATATATACCCAAATCACCAGAAACACTCCAATGAACAAAAAGCGAAAACCCCCAAATTCCTAGGATTGCAGTAAGAAAAGAAACTGATTCAACAATAAGAACAAAGGAACAGTCTTTTTATCCGAAAAAACAAAACTTTACTTCAAATGGAAGAGAACTCAGCGTCTGTTTATCCGTTAATCTGAAAGAAACCAACAATGGGTCATTCATCAAAAAGACCATTGGATCGTATACAGACCTTAACACAAAACAATCGAAATAAACAAACCTTAAATATTCAGACAACCATCACAAGAAATCGAGGACCTTTTTTTTTCATTCCCCTATATTGTGTATGCAAAGATATATGTACAATATTACAGCTAAACTTCAAAAGAGAGGGTCATAGTCAACAAAGGCAACACAAGGCAAAAAAATATTACAAACTAAAACTCTCTATCAACAGATAAAACAAAACTATTGTATATATGTGTGTATATTTTATATAGGCTTCTAGGGCCTTGGGGAAAAAATTCTTATAGGATTCTGATCAAATTATTTATTAAATTAGGGTGTTTGTTATAATGATCTTATTGGTCGTCAAGTGATCCTTGCGAGAAAGCTTTTTCTGTTGCAACAACTCTTCTTTCTTCTCTCTTTGTTGTAGTTCCATAGGTCGTCAAGTGTTTCATATGTCACCGTGTGCTCCTGGAGACTTATGGAGATCGTCGTGTGCTCCTAGAGACCTATGGTAGTCACTGTAGCAATCATCCTACTTAAGCAAATAATTATTCGACTGTACTATGTGAAGAATTTTTTTTTATTTCATTATTCAACCACTTTTGTCATTTTATATATACAGAATCAAAATATCAACCTTTATATATACTTTATGAATAAAAAGACAAAATGTGACTTTGTTGGTTAAATAATTCATATGAATAAAATTAGAAAAATATGAGAGTTTGAAAATTAATTTGAGATATAAATGTTTTGTTACACGACAGGTGAAATTCGTCATGAGTAGATTACGAGTTTTATAAATTATAATAAAAATATAATCCTTCATATTCTTATGACGAGTTTTATATAATTTTCTTTTAATCATATAATGAGTTTTATTTTTTTAATATATTTTATAAAACCCGTCATGAGAGAATGATGAGTTATACATATATTGTAATAAATGACTTAGATCTTAAAATAATTTTTTAACGCCGGCATATTTTTTTGGAAAAGTTCCACACATAATTTTCAAATTCTATTAACAAAATGTCAGATATATAATAATAATTGAATTTTTGAATAATATGCTTGTGGAAAGAAAAAAAAAACAAAATTAAGGGTTATGTACCTAACTGGCTTACCTACCAAGTTTTTCAATTCTACATATTACGCTCAACGAACATTGTTATTTAAGATATTTTTATTTTTATTTTAAAAATATAAATATTAAAGATTCGTATAGAGAATGAATATATATATATATATATATATACATATATGTTTAAGCTGAAATTATAGGTTTCAACGTGAGAATATTGCTTTTATGCTATGACTTGGTGAATTCCTACAAACAAACAGTGACACATTGTCCTAAGCTGTTGTGAAAACCAAAGTGTAGTTAGTTTTACTTGTGTTATAAAAAAAATTTATTTTAACTTTAATTTTTTTTAGAGAAGTCATTAATATTTGATTTTTTGATCGATTAATTCGAAATAAATATTATAGAGACCCATCAAGGGAATCGCTCACAATCTAATTTTTTTTATTCAAAATATTAAAATTTAAACTCTTTATCTTATTTAAGGAACTTAATATCTCATCCCATAAGATAATTAATAATGAAAATCTAAATTTTTAATTAATCATAAAACCAATATATTTGAGTGGTTTAGGGTTAAAATATTTTGAACCTTTTAGATTAAATGTTTTAATCTTAGAATTAAATGGGATTAAACTTAAACAAACTATTTAATCAAATAACAATTTATTAAATTTTCATTGAACAATAAACATAAAAGAAATGACCATCCAGCTCAGTTGGTAGAGTACAAAGTTCTTAACCTTGAGGTCGTGGGATCGAGTCCCACGGAGGGCATTTCATAATTTGGAGGTCCCTTACGGAAACTACTCTCAACTTAGTGTTGATAGTAACTTATTATCTTACCTCCCCCTTACCTCATACATATGGGAAAAAGGGACAACCAACCAACAATAAACATAAAAAATGTTTAAAAACTCGAACCAACATTATATATTGATATCCAATATATAGAATAACTTATACTCATGACATTTTAAATTAATCATTGATTTTAACATGTTCATATATTCCATTATTTTTTTAATATCATGTCTCAATCATTTAATATATGTTTTATTTTATTATAATAATTTAATGTTAAATATGAATTTATTCATTTAAAAATGGTGTATGGCTTTTTTAGTTATTTTAAAAAATAGACTTTTATTTTAAAATAGCTTTATAATTATTTAAAAAATCAGTTTTCAAATAAATCTAACCGTAAAATTGATTCACATTCTAATTAAATTGGTGTCCTGATATTATAATTAATAGGATACTAAATCTGTTAAAAAGATAATTAAAACATATTTTATACTGCAATTTTTAAATAAAATAATTAAAAATTATAATTTTAAAATTACATTAAATTTAAATACAAAATTAATAAATGTATTTGCAAATTTTTATAACTCTATTAACAATAACTGACTGAATAATATTTATACATAAATTATTTCTATTAATCATGTGGGTGGCAAAGAAGTATACGTATTCATGTACAATCAAAGACTTATTATTTCACCAGCAACCAGTTGGTCTAGTGGAATGAAACACCAGGTCTCTTAAGCAAGGTCAGGAATTTGAATCATGATATTTACGAATAGAGCAAACTGGATTGGGAGGGTCGCCCTCGCCTCTACAGTACCCGATCTGGATTAATTGGTCAATAGATCAGATACTAGTGATTAATTATAAAAAAGACTTATTATTTCGGCAAATCAGTACATTGTTTACTGAAAATACAAAGATATCATAAGACAATACTAAAAATATATCAACAACACTTTTATTCCTATTTTTCTAACAAACCTCCTTACGCTCACTAATAAAATATTAAACTCAAAACAAAACATGAGAATTTCATGCATCTCATGCCCTTTACACTCTCTTGCTTCACCATTTTATCTTGCCAGGGAAGTACTGCATTTGATTATTTATATAACCCATAGATTAATAACAAATTATATAATCACATCCTGACCCTTCATTCTTCTCGAATATTAAAATAAAGAAAGATATTTTATAAAAAGATATGTATTCGAAGTAAATATCCGAATCGGAGTAACATTTAAGAGTAACTTAAAGTCATTCGAATCGAGTCTCATGGAGGACATTTCATATTTTGGAGGTCTTCTACGGAAGCTGCTCTCAATCTAGTGTTGGGGCAGCCTACTATCTTACCTCCCCCTTACCCCATTACATATGGAAACAAGGGACAACAACTTTTTTTAAAGTCATTGGAATGAGATATTTTTTGACATATTGATAAAAAAATGTTTTTAATATTTGACTAAATAGTAACTTTGTCCCTATTCATTTTCTTGGAGTATTTCGACATTTTATTTTGAGGCAAAAAAGCTCATTCGTTGATGGAAACTGTTAGTTGATAAACTGTCAACGTTCCAAAATAGAGAATTTTTTTACCTTAAAATAAAATGTTATGGGTCAAAATACTCCAAAAGAAAAGAATAAGAGCTAAAATAACTATTTAATCAAACGTTAGAGACTATTTTGTCCTAAAATGAAATATTTGAGGAAAAAATGTTTTAAAAAAATTAAAATTAAAATGACTATTTAGTTATGTTAAGAGCATTTCATGATATTATGCTTTTCTTTTACCTTGTTGATGAGAGATAAATAGTATGGCTTGACTTTGTCAACATCTATGATGACTTTGCTTTTGCTGTAGAGATCATATTTACTGAAAATCCATAACAAAAAACAATGGGAAAATAGTGTTTAGGTCGAAATGATGTTCCCTTCTACCTTAATGGTAAAATAAATGACAGAAGGGGTAAATTTTTTTTACTTGAATATCTTGAGCCATTTCACATTCTCAATGTCTTCTTCATTCATCAAGTGCTTATACGCATCACACCTATGTAAAGCTGCAAATTCAATTCGTTCCAATAAGATTAACATATTACTTAGATTTATGTTATTTTAAGCTCAAAGTAATTATAAAAAATGAAGAAAATTCTTTTTTTTTTCCATTTACCATAGAAGGAGTGGTATCTTATGATGAAGAGTCCAGCTGAAGGAAGAGTGCTTTTGTTCTCCTTAGCAACCTATACCATGTAATATTTTGATTGAGCCTTATTAATCGGTTTGAATTTAACTCGAATCAAGCTCGAATTTAACCTATACCAGGGTTTTCTATTATAAATAGAGATGTAACCTAAACCTATTATCATTGAATAAAAATTTTCTAGCGCCGCTGGCGAGGACGTAAGCACATTGCCGAACCTCATTAAAATTCTTGTGTTCTTTCGTTTACTTTGCCCTATTTATCAACACTTCTTAAACTCGAGTTGTAATAAAATCCATTTAAAACAGGAAAAGAAATGGAAAAAAAATATATTGGAAGTGTAGTGTACCAAGTACATGTAATCATCATGTCCCCATGATATCAAGACATTGTCCAGGCCACAACCTTCCGAGTAAATCCCGTATTTAGTGTTATAAGCAGGGTTTCTGTTGTCTTGATTTTCCTGAAAATACTGCAGGAAAAAAATTGAAGAACATTATGTGGATAATACAAGTTATATATAAAGTTTCAAGAAAATTATATATATATATATATATATGTATATATATAGTAATGAGTAATGACCTTATGGTGCACGATTGATTCATCAAAGGCACATCCAACAGGAAATGTGTCCCCTGGAATGACAGCAATCATCGCTAATTAATCATCAGTTTATAGTTCAGCATCATATATAGTTATGAGTTCGAATTTAAATAATCGAATTATGAATGTTAAACACGAATATTTAAAAAGAGCAATATAGATTTATACAGCAAAACAACAGAGATGAACAAAGTGGGAGGGAAGGCACTCACCCACAACAGCCCATTGAGGGAGCTCACCAAAAGCAGGATGAAGAAGAACTTTTCCAAGATCTGCAGCAGAAAAGCAAATAATAGTATATGGTATTCAATCTGACATGTGGTGTATGTATGTATGTAATGTGCTGTACCATGGACAAGGGCAGTCAAGTGGAGCCAGTCTTCATCTGGATAGTCTTTTCTGATAGCTTCAGCAGTTTGCAGCAAATGCTGAATCTGAGGTTCATCTAAGTCAGGATCACTCTCATCCACAAACTCATTCAGAAGCTCACAGCATTCCCATATGCTCATTTCCACCCTCTTTAGCTCTCCATATTCCTTTCTCATCCTCCTTACCTACTCAAATACATACATATAATATACATACATGCATACATATTATTCAAGAAAGTGAAACAATTTGGTAAGAGAAATCACTTACAAAGTCAACAGTCTGATTAATGTGATTTGTTCTGTAGAATTCCTCTACTCCTTTTTGCCTTTCACTTTCTACATGATAACCTCTGTTTTGCATTTTCACAAACAGGTTACCTCTCATTAAATCAAATCATTTCAAAATGACCCATGTTTTCAAGTCAAACCCACAAACAAAACAAAATCCTTTTCTTTCAGCATTTTCGGATCAAACTCGTAAAAACCAGAAAATTTATTTATGAATTTTTTTAGTAAGAAATGCAAAGACCAAGAGACCTGAAAGTGTGGCCAAAAGAGTTGATATGAGGAGCCACAAATCCCCCATCTGCAACCTTATGCCTCTCCTCAACCCCAATTTCTATATCACAAAAATAATGAAAACCTAATAACAATATATAACAAAAACAACATCTTTTTCAAGGATTCATCAATGGAAGAACCAAAAAAGAACTCACCAAATTCAGGCTGCTCAATGAGAATTGTCATCCTGATTCCCTACTGAAGCTAAAAAGGAAGAAATTAAAATAAAAAGTAGGAATGGTTTTGGTTGTCTTTGAAGGTGAAAAAATGGGGTGAATTTATAACATAGAAGAAGTCCTTCCCCTGAGAATTCTGAGTATCCATATTTGCATGGCAAGGACAACCAATAAGCCCTTGCATGAAAAACTAGCAAGTAGGTACATGGACACACTGACACGTCAAATGGACAGAAAGATACGGTTTTTTAAGTATCAAGACATGTGTGACGGCAAAACAAGATGACAAGAAAACATGCTTTTCATATGACAATGTATATATATAAAGAGGAAAGTTGTAAGGCTAAAAGGCAGGGGAAGAGAGCAGAGACATCCAAGGCCATGCAAGTGGGAGGCACAGATGATTTTGGGTTTTGGGTATACATCAAAATCTCGTTTTCTACAATAATTTTGTTGTCCCCTTCAATTGTTGAAAGAGAGTGATGACTCTGTTTGGTTGAGGTGTTTTAATTTTAAACGGTTAATGTTCTTTGATTGACACCTACTTCACTTGCCATCTACAGTTAAAAGACAATATTGTACATTCTTCCTTTCGCTTTTGAATTTCTCTTTTTTATTTATTTATTTCGTTTCTAATAATTAGATTTAAATGCCAAATTAATCTAATATGTAATTACCACTTCAATGGAAGATACAAACACATGCAATGGACATTTTATTTTATTCTGATTGCCATTTGGAATGTAAAAATCCGTTGTAAAGACTGAAATTCGAACTTGTATATATTTATCTAATGTTATAGAATAAATTTAATGATAATTATATGTATTGGGAAATAAAACGAGAACCAATAATTTCCTTATAATCAGATTAGTGAGAATGCGAAATAAAAGCGGAAAAATAATATCCGAAAATCGATAACGGAGTTCAGCCAATTGTGCTTACGTCTCCGGGCTGCTGCAGATCTTTTACTAAGAGAGAAAATTTACAGGTGTTTACAAAACACTCACTACTCACAAGAAAACTCTCTAGTATTGGGAAGAAAGAAATGTTTTGGGATGATTTTGAAGCTAAATGAGCTATGGTATTTATAGTTGAAACTTAGGACTAAACTTATAAATATCCTAAAGTCCAAAGGGACTAAAATTATGATTATCCCTTTTATTTTCAACAATTAGCCGCCTCATGTGTTGTTTTTATTTTCTAGTCGCCCATGTTGGAAAAAACAGCCGCCCATGCCTTTGAATTTTCAACAATCTCCCACTTGAAGACTGATTTTAATATGTCTTCACACCTTGATCAATGCAGCAGCATTTATGGTCTTGTTAGTCTAGCATGTCAACTGAAGTTGAACACAACTTCAGTTTGTCCATGGTCACCGTCTTTGTCAACATGTCTGCCGGATTTTGAGCTCCACTGATCTTTTCAAGTTTCAAAATCCCATCTTCCAGAATAGACCGGATAAAATGATATCGCAATTGTATATGCTTCATCCTGGAATGAAAAGACGGATTCTTCGCTAGATGGATAGCACTTTGACTGCGCAATACAAGACATTGTTTTCTTGTTTCTTGCCTAACTCTTCCAAGAAACTTTGGAGTCAAACCATCTCCTTGCTGCCTTCCGTAACAACGACATATTCTGCTTCAGTTGTGGAGAGAGCAACTATCTTCTGTAGTTGAGAAACCCAACTCACTGCAGTACCTCCTAGAGTATAGACATACCATGTAGTACTCCTTCTGATGTCGACATTTCCGGCTAAGTCAACATCTACATAGTCAGTCAGTATTGTATCTCCACCTTTGAAACAAAGTGCTTTGTTTGTGGTACCCCGCAGATATCTGAGGATCCATTTGACTGCTTCCCAGTGTACCTTGCCCGAATTATTCATGTACCTGCTAACAGCTCCCACTGCTTGAGCAATATCTGGTCTTGTACAAACCATGGCATACATCAGACTTCCAATTGCTGAGGCATACGACACCTTCACCATGTGTGCATGTTCTTCCTCCGTCTTTGGTGACTGTTCTTTGGAGAGTCTGAAATGAAAACCTAAAGGTGTACTTACTGGTTTAGCATCTTGCATGTTGAACCTGGAGAGTAATTTGTTGATGTACTCAGCCTGTGATAACATCAAAGTCCCCGACTTTGTGTCTCTTTTGATCCTCATCCCAAGAATCTGCTTTACTGTACCCAGATCTTTCATTGCAAACTACTTCGACAATTTTTGCTTCAAGTTTATAATCTCTTGCATGTCTGAGCCTGCAACGAGCATGTCATCAACGTACAACAATAAAATAATGAAGCTATTGTCGAACCTCTTGATGTAGCAACAATGATCTGCTTGGCATCTGGTAAAACCACTGCTACTCATGAAGCTATCGAACTTCTTGTACCACTGTCTATGAGCTTGTTTTAAACTATACAAGCTCTTCTTCAACCTGCATACCAGGTTTTTCTTGCCTGCCTCTATGAAGCCTTATGGCTGCCTCATATAGATTTCTTCCTCCAAATCACCATGAAGGAAAGCTGTCTTTACATCTAACTGCTCAAGATGTAGATTTTCTGCAGCTACAATTTTCAACACCAGTATGATAGTAGACAGTTTCACGACTGGAGAGAAAATTTCATTGTAGTCAATACCTTCTTTTTACTGAAAACCTTTGACAACCAATCTCGCTTTGTAACGTTTGCTCCCATCGTGCTCTTCTTTGATCCTGTAAATCCACTTGTTGTGAAGCGCTTTCTTGCCTGGTGGTAATTAAGCTAATTCCCACGTCTGATTTGACATAAGCGAGTCTATCTCATCTTTCATGGAAGACTCCCACTTTACTGAATCCTCCACTTGCATTGCTTCACCATAGCACTCTGGTTCACCATTGTCAGTCAGCAACAAGTAGTGCAAAGAAGGATAATACCGTTGGGTTGGTTTAGGAATTCTGGAGGAGCGTCTCAGTTCTGGTGTACCTGGTTCTTCTTGAACTGTTTCAGGATTGATCTGAACATCATTTCTAAAAATCTCCTCGAACTCAACAAATTCTTTTGTTTCAGCTTCGGTATTTGAGCTACTTGATTCTACAGTTGACCTATCTTTGTACATCACATTTTCATTGAAAATGACATCTCTCCTTCTGATGATCTTTCGATTTTCATAGTCCCAAAACCGGTAACCGAACTCATCACCGCCATAACCAACAAAGGCACATTTGTTGGACTTAGCATCAAGTTTACTTCTTTCAGCAGAGTCTATGTGTACATAAGAAATACAACCAAACACTCTTAAGTGTGAAAGGTTTATTTCTTTCTTGCTCCAAACTTCATCTGGTATTCTATCATCCAAAGGAACTGAGGGCCCACGGTTGATCAGGTAAGCTGCAGTGTTGATAGCTTCAGCCCATAGAAATTTGGGTAGTCCGGCATGTATCCTCATGCTTCTGGCACGTTCATTCAGAGTTCTGTTCATGAGCTCTGCTACGCCATTCTGCTGCGGTGTCATGGGAACTGTTGTCTCCATCTTGATCCCATTGTTTGCGCAGAAGTCTCTGAATCTCCTATTTCTGTACTCTCCTCCATTGTCAGATCTCAACCGCTTGACTTTCAGACCAGTCTCATTTTCCACCATGGCCTTCTATTTTCTGAAGGTATCAAAGACTTCTGATTTCTGTTTCAGAAAAAAAAAACCCACACATTCCTTGTAGAATCATCGATGAATGTGACATAATATAATGAGCCTGCAAGAGATGGAACTGGAGATGGTTCCCATACATCAGTATGAACCAACTCTAATTTTTCAGCCTTGGGTGTCTTACTAATCTTTGCAAAGCTGACTTTCTTTTGTTTGCCAAAGCTGCAATCCTCGCATAGTCCGACATCTACATTCTTTAGATCCGGTAGCTTCCCTTTTGACAAAAGCGTCTTCATCCCTTTCTCGTTCATATGGCCAAGCCTTTGGTGCCATTGGTTTGATTTTCCATCAGCATCTGCGGCTGCAATGATATTCTCTAAATTTGAGGTTACATAGAGAGTACCAGTTTTCTTACCACGAGCAATGACGAGTGCTCCTTTGGTAATCTTCCATTCACAACCTGAAAAAGTTGTGCTATATCCTTCTCCATCAAGCTGTCCTACAGAAATCAGATTTCTTTTGAGGCCAGGAATATGTCTTACTCCTTTCAGAGTCCAGGTGGTCTGGTTTGGCAACTTTAGTCGGATGTCTCATTTTTCGACGATCTTCAAGATTTCATCATCAGCTAGATGAACCTTCCCAAAATCACCACTGACATAGTTCTCCATGATTTCTCGGCATGGGGTGGAGTGGAAAGATGTCACTGAATCTAAGATCCAGGATTCAATCGGACTGTTGACGCTTAGAATCATGGCATCACATGTCTCCTCTGTCATGTTTGTAGATTCCTGTGCGCCGGTATATTTCTTCAGTGCTCGGCAATCCCTTTTAAAGTGACCCTTTTTGCCACAATTATAACAGGTAAAATCTTTCTTTCCCGTTCTTGATTTTCCCCGTCTGGATTTCGATCTGCCACGATTTGAATTTCTTTCTGAAGTTCTCCCTCTGGACTCCGTGTGCAAGGCTGAGGAGGTTGATGCTTCACCCGATTCTCTCATTCGAATTTCTTCGCTCAGTACCAGATCCTGAACATCGTCGAATTTTAATTTACTATTTCCCGACGAGCTGCTAACTGCTATAACAGTAGCATTCCAACTGTCTGGTAGAGATGATAAGAGAATTAAAGCTTGAACTTCATCATCGAATTCAATTTCCACGGAACTCAACTGGGTTGTGATTGTGTTGAGTTCATTCAGGTGTTGAGCCACTGATGCCCCTTCCGTCATCCGCAAATTGAATAATCGCCTCATCAAATGAACTTTGTTTGAGGCCGATGGCTTCTCATACATACTGGAGAGAGCCGCCATAAGACCCGTCGTGGTCTTTTTCTTTGCTATGTTGAAAGCAACATTTCGGGACAACGTCAGTCGGATAACTCCGAGGGCTTGTCGGTCGAGAAGAGTCAAGTCTTCATTCTTCATGCCCTCTGGTTGCTTTCCTGAGATGGGTTGATATAGATTTTTCTGGTACAGAAAATCTTCGATCTGCATCTTCCAAAAGCCAAAGTCCGCACCATCGAACTTTTCAATTTTCACATTCCCTTCGTCTGCAGCCATCGCTCCCACTCGAATCTGGCTTCGTTTGGATCGTTTCTGACAATTCTTGCGAACCACCGTGTTTTAGAACACCTCTGTCGACAAATTCGTATCACCGACAAATTTTTTTTACTATTCACGAAATTTACTATTCACGTGAATAATAATGAATTGTAACATCACAAAAATTGACAAAATTTACAACCAAAAGCTCTGATACCAGTTGTTAGGAAATAAAACGAGAACCAATAATTTCTTTATAACTAGATTAGTGAGAATGCGAAATAAAAGCGAAAAATAATACCCGAAAATTGATAACGGAGTTCAGCCAATAGTGCTTACGTCTCAGGGCTGCTGCAGATCTTTTACTAAGAGAGAAAATTTACAGGTGTTTACAAAACACTCACTACTCACAAGAAAACTCTCTAGTATTGGGAAGAAAGAAATGTTTTGGGATGATTTTGAAGCTAAATGAGCTAGGGTATTTATAGTTGAAACTTAGGACTAAACTTGTAAATACCCTAAAGTCCAAAGGGACTAAAATTATGATTATCCCTTTTATTTTCAACAATTAGCCGCCCCATGTGTTGTTTTTATTTTCCAGCCGCCCATGTTGGAAAAAACAGCCGCCCATGCCTTTGAATTTTCAACCATATGCACCCAAATGAATATATAAGCATATTCAATTAAAACAAGAGACAAACATGTGAAAAATTAGGCCAAAATATAGTAAGGAGAGAAAATAATTCCTACTAGTTAGTACAACTAAGCGAGAAAAGGACTATTGCACACTAAGTCTAAGCATTATCAACTATCTTAGACCCGACCAAGAATTGTTAGTCCCATGCTAAGGAACTATAAGGATAGAATAGGTCTTAGTAGAGAGTAAAATAATGGTATGGAGATACCTGAGTTCCGCACTCTAATTGTTTTATTTGGTTATCTTGTGCAAATGTGACAATTTTTCCAGTATTTGTATGGCAATAAGATGAGTTAAGCAACCTTCACACTTGATTTTGATGGGTATTCCCTGGATAATATTCCAGTGTAGACGACCTTCCATCACTCTCTAGTTCTTGTCATGATTATTGCATTTTATGATGTACATAATCTCTTATGCAATCCATCATTACGACCTTAATTCATGTTTCTTCAAGACAATAGTTTTGCTTTGTTCCGAGAATTGCAACTTCCCCGCCTTTAATAAATCACATCCAGTTTAAGCTCCCCCCTCTCCCCCTTGTACCCGTGTAAAACCAACCTCTGTTTCGCTACTCTGTACAAGAAGAAGAACAAGACCCGACTCGTCAATCTCTTTATCCCACACCAGAAGTTGCGCCTTCTTGCTTATTGTGCAATACACTGTCCAAATCCCAACAGGCTTAATGTCAGGGTTGCTAGAAATTTCGTAGGTAATAGCTTCTTTTTCAAATGAGTTTGTCGATGGGAAAGTGAAAGTCAAGAAACTACCTGATCTTTGTTATTGTTGCCATGGTTATAATGCTTTTCCTAATGCATTTGTATTGTCTCTCATTGTTGGTTCCTATTTTTATTCGCATATGAAGTTCTAATCATCAAATTTAAGTGTTCTTAATTTAATGCTCGGAGGTTCAATAAAAAGTATGATGTTAAATTTGATGCTTAATGCACTGTTGAATATTTGAAGGATATATGAAGGTTCTGGTTAAAAATTTGGTATGGAGTTTTGAGTACGATTAAAGGTAAAGTTTTCCACATTAAGTATTTTGTTGAATACCATATGCTATAATTTATAGCATGTATGTTCATAGTTTTATAATATTTGGAGGGATCAAAGCACAATTTTAACATTTTAAGGGGGCTTTAACTGATATCAAACACAATTTGTATTTCTAACTTTTAACTCTTTAACTGGATTTAACCCAACCGAATGAAGACGGAGATGAAGATGGTGAGCTAGTATTTCTGTGGTTAGGCCAAATGATAGCCATCCAAGAAGATGACCAATGTTTCCGACGCGACAACGGAGACACTGTTGTAGTTGTTGCGGCGGCAGCTGCTGCTGCTCCGATTCGTTCCATTTGCGGCGAATTCAATAATTTCCACATCACCTGTACGTCTTCATATCCACACATCATTACATCATCTTCAAGCTTCAACAAACCATTTGCATTACAGGCTTCGCCATCTTTCCCACCTGCTAAATCACCAGTTTCCTCAAGACACCAAGAACCAAAATCGATCCAAACTAGAATTATATAAAGAAAAGAAGGGATCTGGGATTGATGATCATGGAATATGAAACTCAACTGACCTTTGACTGTGGGTTTATGGGGTTTAAGCCTTTGAGAAACAGAGATCCAAACCCTCCTCATCTTCCTCCATAAATGCATGTTTCTCGAGCTCCAGATGAACTCTGAAATGGTGATTTGAATAAGTAGGGAACATAGGCGCCGCCAAGCACCGAAATCCATTAACACGTTTCTTGATGGCCGAGCCAAACGTCTCATATCGGTTCAGTCCACCAGTCTGAATCTCGTTTGTGCTGCTTCTCTTCTCGCTCTGTTTTTGGCTGTTTCTTCATTTAGCATTAATAATAAATAACTTTTCATTTTCCTTTTTCCTTTTTTTATATGATTTTTTTTATTTGTAGTGACGACATGATTCATGAAATTGTTGAGGTTCATCCATTCAAACTTTACTTTTCTTTGACAATGACGAAATGCTGCATTGTTTCTCTTTCTACCGTTTCATACAGCAACATAAAAGTCTTTGTAAAGGAGCGAACAAATAAAATCGTTTGCTTAATGATAAATTTTAGAATTTAGACGTGGCATATATATATATATATACATATACATATGTAGGTGGATAATATCAATAAACTAGATAATTAATTAAAAAAATCATATTTTATGGTGAATACTTATCCAAAGCTTGATGTAGATCCACCCAAGAATGGATCGAGAGGGAGCAGATGGAGGCAATCATCCTACTAAAATTCTCTTGTATTTTAGGTTTTATTATGTATATTTTGTATGGATAATTTTTTTATGCTAAAATTTTATATATTTATTCCTCTATAAAAATTTATAAGTTCGCCCCTTTTAGCATAAAATCTTTCGTCTTTGAATCCACTACTAGACTCTAGTTACATAAATATAAGGTGATTTCATATTTGTAGTGGTTTAAAGAGCCTCAACCAATTAACATAAACGTTCATACCCCTATCGGTGCTCTAACCCATGTCCTCTAGGGATATAAGGTAAGTACAGTGTAGTATCTACTCAAAGATAAACGCTTACACCTCTGACATCTATGATGCTCGAACCCGGGTCCTCAAAGAATAATAACAATTCCTTTACCACGGATGCCACTTGGTTCGTGCTATTATCAATGCGTTTAAATGTGTTTTTATATTTTATATTAATATTATAGCTGAATTTTTCGAATAATATAGTGAGAAAAAATAATGGCTCAGATAATGCTGTCAAGAGATTATTTCTTTGAATGGGTGATTGCTACAGTGTGCCCCGGAGTTGCATTGCCCTCATTGCGTCTAAACCTTAGACGCATTGCTTTCCATGTGTTTCTCCCACCCTAGACGCATTGCCTTCCATGCGTTTCTCCCACCCTCGAAGTCGCACTGTCTTCCAGGCGTTTTCCGCCCAGCTACATTGCATGCTACATGCATGCAAGTCAGGTTGCCTTCCAAACATTTCCAACGATGTTGCATAGCCCATGCATGCAGAAAGTTGCAGGGCAAGCCATGTGTGTTTGGCCAAAACCCCCCAAAGACTCTATGTAAGTCATGCGTCTCTCTCCTGCATGTATGCCCCTCCCCCGCGAACAACACCCGTGACGTTGCCCCTGCATGACAATCTACCGCCTGGATGGGCAGCAATAAAAGATTCATTTTGTAGCAATAATACTACAATAATAGCATCAATAATGGGTCCGGGTTGGTTGGGTTGTTCTTATATAGGGGAGTGTATGAGAGGGAGGGGCACCAGGAAGAAGAAATAAAAAGAGGAGAATGAAGAAAGAAAGAAAAGAAGGAGGAAGAAATGAAGAAGAAGAAAGAAAAGAAGGAGGAAGAAGAGAAGGAAACAATCAAGTAAATTAAATTTTATTTTATTTTATTTGTTGATGTTTTAATCTCTTACTTTGTTTAGATTAAATTAGTTTTTTTATAATAATGTTTATATTAATTATTAATGTTATTAAAATTATTTTTTTTCTACAAATTCGTTCAAATAAAAGAACAAAATCAACTACTTCATCTTGACACTCAACGTATTTCTAGCCATTTAGGAGTGATGATGTTGTTATTATTTAATAAAATATTATTATATGATAATAAATTATTATTATTAAATGGTAGAAGTTTATTTTATGATTAATTGATTAATTTCATAAATATTGTAATTGTAGGAAGACAAGCAGAGAGTCCTCCGTCATCAGCTCAACATTCTCGCTAAGCCACACCATGTGATTGAAGATCACCTAGAAGAGTCTGGATTTTATTATGTTACATTTATTCGAGAGTATAAGTTGGTCTCGGGTTTGATACGTGCATTGATTGAACGTTGGAGGGCAGAAACACATACAATTCATTTTTCGTGCGGAGAATGTACGATAACCCTAGAAGATGTGGCCTTCCAACTTGGGGTTCCAAGAAATTGGATGTCGGTGGTGATGAGAAATGATTACAATAATGTGGAAACACTTTGCAATGAGTTTCTTGGGCAGACGACAGTAAGCCTAGATTTAAAAGGGTGTCGTTTGAGGCTGTCGTGGTTGGAGAATCAATTTAAACTCCAACAAAATAGTATCCAAGAAGAAATTGTATATGTAACTCAAGCATATATCTTGTAGTTGATTGGAGGAGTTTTGATGCTTGATAAATCCGGTAATCTGGTTCACACTCAGTATCTCCCGTTTTTGAGAAATTTTCAGAATACATGTTAGTACAGTTGGGGATCTGCGATATTGGTATTCTTGTACCGTGAGATGTGCAAGGCGTCAATAATATTAATATATCAGAAATCAGTGGATGTCTGATGTTGCTACAATCTTGGGATTGGCACAGACTTCCATTTTTAACATCGATTAGTCGAACAACGATTGACTTTCATCTTTTCGGAAGGTAAGTTTTTTTTTCTCTATTTTAATTTAAATTCTTAATTAGAATTTATTTATTGTGGTTAAAAATAAGTAACAAATATTTTTTTGATATACAGATGGAGGCATAAAATAGAAAGAACGTGACTAGTACATATAATATTAAAGAATTTCGGTTGAAGATTGACATTTATAGCAAAAAGAAGGTATATAATATAATATAATATAATATAATATAATATAATATATATAATATAATATAATATAATATAATATAATATATATATATAATATAATATAATATAATATAATATAATATAATATAATATAATATAATATATATAATATAATATAATATAATATAATATATAAATATATAATATAATATATAATATAATATAATATAATATAATATAATATAATATAATATAATAATATATATAATATAATATAATATAATATAATATAATATAATATAATATATATATAATATATAATATAATATAATATATATATAATATAATATAATATAATATTATATATAAAATATATTATTTATTTATATTTATTTCTTAATTTATAATTTTATAATTTTACCTAATGAATTAATTTTTGGAGGACTAATTTTATAATATAAATATAAAATAATATTTATTTATTTATAATTTTATAATTTCCCGTCTAATTAAGTTTTATAAATTTAATTTTACAGTTTAATTGGAGGTCGTACATAGATGAAAAAAATTTAGCGTGGTGCCTGTAGATGTTTTGGATGGTTGTCAATATTGGGGTGCTGTTACACCATTAATTCATTTTGTTTTTGTAGAGATATAATTTTTGGATCGAGTGTTGAGGCAGTTCAGTTGCCACCAACCTATTCCGCCCATTCCATGGGATCATTATCCCTTGCACAGATTAGATGATGGGGTAAGCACAACGTGAATTGAATTACGTAGCACGCGAATGCATTAATGCTTGGAACAAAAGAGCTTCATACTTGCCACCTCTTGATCCAATTCAAGATGGTGATTTTAATTTTGAGACTTTGACTTACCTTCAGTATATAGGGATCATAGAAAATCTTACCTGACGACGTTGGGAGAAAGGAAACAATTTAAGAAATATAAGAAATTTGGTACAATCGATAAATTTATACCAAGTGAAGTGGGAGTTCATCTCAACAACATGAAGCGGAAACATCATAATTGTTTGATGATTCTTCTGTTCCAGCAACATACCCGAGTTAATGCATCCTCAGGCACCCATACTCTCTAATGTTTGAATCAACATATGACTTTGAGCAAATGACATTTATGATATCAAATACGACTATTTGTCAGTTTACGTTTCTAGGAGGGATGGAAGAGCAAAGTGGTGGAATGAGAGATCATGGTGGTGGGCATATATTTACAACACCAACTGATATGCCCCCAATGAATGAAGAGGACGAGTACCATACTCTTGAGCAACTGCAACGGTCACAACGCTTTAGACGTCCGCCTCGACATTATCATTCCACAACACCTCAACATCGGCAAGAATTATAAAGTCAATTATTTTTATAAAAATTAATAGTAAATAAAATGCTATTATAAGTTAAAATTAAATTTAAATTATATTAGTATTTTCTAAACATAGTAAATATTTTTTTATAGAAATTTTTACCTTAACTTAAATATTTAAATTTTATTCTTATTATATTTTAAAATTAATATAAAAATATATTTTTTCAAGTCAAATAGTTAACATTGTCCCAACGACATGTGTCATGATATTTGACACTACTAACACATGGCATGATCTAATTCGAAGATTAAATTAATTTTAATTTATTAAAATTAGGACTAAATTGATAGAATCTATAAGTAAAAGTGACCAAATGTGTAATTATATCAATTTTATTAAATTTTAAAAGTTAAACGAGATAAAAATATATTAATTAATTTTAATTTTTTAAAATTACGACTAAATTGATGGAATATAAAAGTATAAGTGACAAAATGTGTAATTATATCAATTTTATTAAGTTTTAAAAGTTAAGATGGGGTGTGATAAAAAATATAAAATAATTTTAATTTATTAAAATTAGGACAAAATTGATATATATAAGTTAAACTGACCAAATGTGTAATTATATCAATTTGATTAAATTTTAAAAGTTAAGATGAGATAAAATATATATTTTATGTTAGATAATAACAAAAAATTATATTTTTAATAAATAACAATAAAGTATATATTTAATTTAATTTGATAATAAAATTTATTTAATAATTTATGATAAAAATAAAATATATTTTTAAAGTTAAAATACATAAATTATTATATTAAAAATATATAAATTAATTTTAATTTTTTTAAAATTATGACTAAATTGATAGAATATAAAAGTATAAGTGA